ATGCAAATCCTATAGTGAGGTTTTTCACTCCTTTTCATTACATTCTGGTTGCTTGTTTTCTTTAACTGAATATAGAGAGAAGAAATGTCGAAGATTTGTGATAAGGACTTATGTCCAATCCACTACCTACCTATAAACTTCCCAATAATTATTTTAAGAAAATGTCATCTGGTACATTTTTCTGCTTATGATATTATGATATTATGATATTAATTAGGTGAATAAACTTCCCCATAAACTTTGGACTTTGGAACTGCATAAATTTTATCGTGTAAAGAAGCTTGGTGTGCTCCCTAAGTTATGAATAGTTTATGTTAATTTTGGAGTTGTGAGTTAGCGTTCTACACCTTAGCAAGAGTATGGCTTTATGATTTGTGATTTAGCTTGTTATTTACTACCTGTGAAAAGTTGCAAATTTGAACATAGGTCTGAGGCATTCCTAGTTAGTAGCTGACTGAATCTCCACTTGTAATAAAGTAAATTTTTATTTTTATTTGCCGAATTATTTCGTTGCTCCATTGCTTTTATGAATTACAGATGGTTATCCAAAGGGGAAATTCAAATGTTTTTGTAGTTCTTGGCATCAATGCTTCTATAGTTTCCTTATAACTTAGTTCTTTATGTTTTTATTTGGAATGATGATGAATAGTTATGTTCTGAATCACATTTGACTGGGATGGGGTCTTGCAGGAGGAGTTTGATGAGCATGCTGAAAAAGCCAAGACTCTTCCAGAGTCAACAACCAATGAGAACAAGCTCATCCTCTATGGGCTGTACAAGCAAGCCACTGTTGGTGCAGTGAACACCAGTAAGTATAATGCTCCCTAAAATTATGATTAGTCCACTATTTTTCATTCTCTCATTGCTTTACAAACTAGAGATAGTTAACTGTCCTGTCCTCTAAATTTTCCCTTCATGCTTGTTCCTTCGTGGCTGACAGGCCGCCCGGGAATATTCAATATGAGGGACAGAGCAAAGTGGGATGCATGGAAGGCTGTTGAAGGTAAA